CCCCAAAACCCCAAAACCCCAAAACCCCAAAACCCCACTTTATAAATATGGGATTGATTCATAATTAATAAAAATATGTCGATTAGTTTTAACCAAAAAGATAAGCTAGTGCTTGCAAAACCAGCCAAGAAGGCCGGCCTTACCAGATTGGACCTTACAAGAATACTTGGAGAATCTCAAATTAGAAGACTAGGTTCTCCAAGTATAAAAGCTTTAAGGTAAGAATTGAAAACTGTCTGAATGACTGTTCAAGATTAACATATAAAAATTTTGACCATTTCTCTTATTAGGCTCTATGATATCCAAATTCAACAATATTTTGCAAGAATTTAATAAACCTAACAAAACTAAGTCTGGCTGGTGCTTTAAGATATTTCTTAAATTTTCATTCGCTCCAAATCTCTCAAATCATGCCTTATTAACATTTATACGATAAGATTTTTTGAATAACTCATTCTGATTAATAACGATATTTCTCTTAATAATTAATAAAGGTATAAGCATCTTCATTCCGAGTGATATAGCCCTAACTTTATCTAGGATTAAATCAGGCAAGTTCCTCAAGCCAATTAAACTTAAGAAGGGCTCATGCGTAAGTGATTCTTTAAAACCAGAGATTTTTTAATGTTGAAGTTCTTCTTATAAAACGCATTTTGTTTCATTGATCAAAAGTACTTAATAGGTCTTATTAATGGGCTTAAATAAGCAATATGAAGCGCTTAAACCTCATAGCTTGCTAATCCGAAGTTAAGAACAGCCATCTAATAATTCTGATACTATAAAAGCCTGTTAATTTATAGCACGCTACTTGTATAGAAGAACTTTAATATCTATCAGCTTTATACTAGGAGCTACTTGGTTACAACTACTCCCTTTCTCTAAAGAAAATTATAAGAAATGGAGGATAATACGTATCAGCCCAGTATTGTTAATTTTTATAAACTTCTTATTTCATAGCATCTTTTGAATTTGTTCATATATCAAAATTCTCTGAAATCGTTTTAAACACAGATATTCCCTCTATCTGCCTCCTAATTCTCCCATATTACTAATAATTACTAAATCAGTGCTAGTTCTCCTCCAGGTTGTCTAAATACCCAACCCTCACATCACTCTAAACACATAATTCCCTTAAAAAGGCCTACAAAATACTTTAGCCCCCATTACAGTCTCTTTAGTTAAAAAAAGCTAAGCGCCCATTAAAACGTCATTCACTCTCCAATAAAAAAGCTACTAAATTTCCAACTTCCTTTATAAAATCTAAGAGATTCTTTAAAGTCAAGAGTAGAGGCAGTACCTGTGCAGAATGAGTAGGGGTTTTAGAGTAAGCTCTTGGGAGTTGGCTTAGATGTGGGTTTTGGGGAGGGGGATGAGGAAGGGTCAGAGTAGGATTGGTATTATGGTAAACACTCGGGATTCATACTGCTACAAACTTGTATAGGATAGTCCTCCCTCGAGCTTTCTAACAATGCTATAGTATCTACTATTCAGCTTAGTTTGGCTAAATTGTTTATGTTTGAAGGAGGAATGGTGTTGGTAGTTTTTAGTGCTAGTTAAAATTGTTGCGAATCATTTTTATTTACCACCCAGTTATTTGGTAAACTCGTTGAAACAACTTGCTAGATGGTGTAACTGAATTATTTTATAGAAGAATGTGGTGAATAAGGCTAAATTTCATAAAAGCCAATTCAGAGTCAAGTCTAGAGCTATTAAGAATATTCATAAAGTGGATCTGAACAATTATAAAAGCAAGAAGGCTGCTCCAAAGAAATAGAACTAATTCCAGAATTCTCTGCAGAGACGAACGAATTTTAGACAAATGTGAACTGATCCATAGAAAACTACTTGAAAAATTAAGCACAAAGATGGAGCTATCGAAGTACTGAAATGGAAGATTTTTCTCTCCCCAATGCTTACAAAGGAAAATAATGAGTCCTATGAAGTACGTATTTTGTATAACTAAATTAACTTTACCATAGTATGAATAGAGCATTACGGAGTCCAAAAGCCCATAAGTTTCAAGCAACGAAGTATCTCCCTGAGCTGAGCATTCAAAGCATTTAAAAATGTTTATCATAAAAAGTTTATTTATAAATTAACGGTTTATCTCTAATCATTACAATCTGAGGCAGGGCGAGCCAATTTTTCTTTTATTTATGTGGTTTTCTTTGAATTAGGCAGCCCCAAATAAACTATCTCATCTCATGAGACTGAGATTGTTTGTACTTACTAATTTTCAAATATTGGTTTACACATTTACTTGCTGACTTAATAATTTTGGAACGTCTGTAGAAATTTGAAAAATAAGCAATGTAATCGTATTCTGAAAAATACTCCTGTTTGAATTTTGTCATAGCAGAACCGATTACTCTTTAAAAGTTTGCATTCAAAACATAGGGAAATTTTCTAAAATTGAATTATTTATTGGCTCAAATCATGAAGCAATATTGTTAGAGATAATTGTAACAAAAAACAGGTCTACACTTTTGGAAATATAGTTAAGAAACTAATCACTGAAGTTTATGGGGTAATGAATATTTCTCATATATTCCATGCTAAAGATCAATAAATTATAAACCAGGATGTCCCAAACTCCTAATTCAACTTAACCCAATAAAAAAGTAGTGGAAGATGAGCGAGGAGTCAGCGGCTACACATTTGATTGGTAGTAGTAAAAGCAGTGATAAATTGCTTTTCGGTAAATATATATCACTCTTAAACCTTGAACCTTAACAAAAAAGTCTCTAATATATTAACTATAATGCCTCTATCACTCATTCATGCTAACTATCATATAATTGTAGGCTTACTCTGAATTCGAAAATTTTCCAACTATATTTATATATTTTAACTAAAAAGAAGCTAATATTCCAATTCGTGCATACTAATTTCCAATAATTTCAAGACTCTCTTAAAAAATATCAAATTTTATTCAAATAGAGCCACTTTAGGAAGGTTTACTGTTGATTCCAATTAAGAAAATAAGGTTCTTATAAAATAGTAAAAACTGGTTAATCAGCGGAAGCTGGGCATATACCTCTGCCTGCTTCTTGGCTCAGGAGCAGAGATATAAGATGTATGGTATGCTCCTGTTTTAGTATATAGGCTTATTCTAAGCATTTTGCTTCCACTTCTTCATATTCTAAACGAAGAATAACCATTTTGTGAGGAGTTAGTTTTAATCAATATATAGAGCATGGTTTATAATTTTCAATAGGTTTTGGAAGGTTAGGGGTTTTGGGGTTTTGGGGTTTTGGGG